CCGCTGCTTCGTTTGCGTTCACGCCTATCTTAAAAAAATATTAACGGATGAAATCGAAATCATTCCGTGACGATCATCGCGTTCGCGTTCATTAATGTATTCCGAATTCTTTTTTTCTTTTTCTTTCCAACTCTTTATCCGGCTAAACGACTAAAAATCGTAAAGATAAATATTTATCTTTATCGATAAAAACTGATCGCTATTCGCTATTATATCCTTACTTGAGAGTGAGAAATTATTTCGAAGATAAAAAATCGAAACTGCGTCCGAAATTGTGAAACGGAAAAATTTGGAAAATGAAATTCGAAGGAAAGATACGAGAAGCTGTAATAGAATGAGATATATGTAAGATAAATATGGAAAATGATATATCTATATCGCGCAAAAGAGAGGCGTGTAGCGAATTTTTCGGATCTCGGAATCCGGAGGATTGGATCGAGAGATCGATCGTAGTCGGCATTCCCACGCGCATGTGCCTTGGGATCGGTCCTTAAAACGTTCTTTAAAAACCTATAGACCTATAGACGCGAATCGTTCCAGATGCTCGACCGACGTTACGTCGCCTCCGGTTAATTTGTCCTCACCTACGTTAATAAAACGTGGCTAACGCAACGTACGGTGATCGTGGTCGATCGCGTTCGCTTTCTAGGTCTCGCGTCGCGGATAGAAATGCTCTCGCATTCCTACATATGACGCGATAACGGAAACGCTCTCCGATTCCTTGCCTCGTTCCGGAACAGCGAAAATTCGCGATAATTTAATTTTCCTTTACTCTTCCCTCTCCCTCTCTCCTTCTCTCTCTCTCTCTTCCCTTCTTCATCTCCGATCCCCCCCCTCTCTCTTTCTCCCTCTCTCTCTCTCTCTCGAGGAAACGCTTTCTCGCGCAAACCGAACGAACCGGTATCTCGTCTCTCGATAACCGAGATACCTAGTTGCGCGAAAGTTAGTTCATTCATCGTTCATACTCGATGATCGATGATCGATGATAGCGCGCGTTGTATTTGAAAAAAAACGAAAATTATCGTTGTCGTCGAAAGGAACGGAACGCAAACGGAACGTATCTGTTAAACGTACCACTGGATAAACGACACTTTAGCGAA